CCCTCTAAGCTGAGTTAGTGTGAGCTAGCTCACAGTTTTTTAGCCTCCGGCTCACACCTTTTTGTCTTCGCTCGGGAAGGGATGGGCTCCAGAGCAAACTGATTTATGCAGCGGCCAAATGGCTCGCTCACATGCCAGTAGCTCACAAAGTAGCATTTTTGCTCACAAGACTCCACAGCTTAGAGGGAGCCTTGGTCCTGGTATGCATCACCTTACCCTTCTCTATGTATGCTGGACTTCACTGGGCACGGTGTTGCCAACTAATCCTCGAGAGAGATCCTCCTGTAGCTTGCCACAGCCTACCTTACTTCCCCCCCATTCTGCATAATTTGGTAGCATTAAATAATAGCATTGGTCCCAGGACCAGTCCTTGTAGGGCTCCACCACTCACTTCCCTCTGTGGCAGAAAGGGCTCGCATTCCCCATCCCAAAGGTCCCAGCAGGGTGCCCTGGATCTCTGCTCAGTGACTCCACCTCTTCCCCTTCTTCTTGGGGTTACCAGCTTCTTTCTGGAAGTAACCATTGCCAGCAGCAAATCAGAGTACCTCCGGCTAAACGGATGTGTACATCTAGTATTCTGCATTGCCACTGACTGTGTTATTGTGGTCCTGTGTGTTCGGGATGGATGGAGAGCTCACCCTCTGCCTCTCCCCTTTACCACTCTTTGGAAAGTGGGACAAAAAGGTGTGGTGTTCTTACAGAGACCGGGGGAGGGAATTCAGGCATTCATCCTTGAGCCTGACCCAGAAACTCCAGCTGGTCCAGAACGTGGCAGTGTGAGTCCTCACCGGGACTCTGTGCACGGCACGTATTCAACCTGTGCTCCGTGAGCTGCACTGGCTTCCGGTGAAGTACCAGATCAAGTTCGAGGTTATGGTACTAACCCTTAAGAACATAAGAGACGCCGATGTTGGGTCAGGCCAACGACCCATCCAGTCCAACACTCTGCCTGTCACACAGTGGCCAAAAATACCAGGTGCCCTCAGGAGGTCCAGCAGTGGGGCCAGGACACACTAGAAGCCCCTCCCACTGTTGCCCCCCCCCCAAGCACCAAGAAGACAGAGCATCACCTGCCCCAACCTGTGAGTTCCTACCTATACCTTGTGGCTCATAGCCACCAATCGACCTCTGCTCCAGATGCTTATCCAATTCCCTCTGGAAGCCGTCCATGCTTGTAGCCGCCACCACCACCTGTGGCAGTGAATTCCAAGTGTTAATCACTCTCTGGGTGAAGAAGGACTTCCTTTTATCCGTTCTAGCCCGACCGCTCAGCAATTTCATTGAGTGCCCACAAGGAGTTCTTATATGGTGAGAAAGGCCCTTAAGAGTCTTGGATCCACATACCTTCCGGACTGCCCCTCCTGGTATACCAGCTGAAGAGCATTACGCCCGGCTGATACGAACCTGCTGGTGGCCCCTGGCCCGAGAGGCATCCGGCTGTCCTAAAGGGCCCTGGCCCCAACCCCGTGGAACTCTCTGCCGGAGAACATCCGTGCCCCGCGGGACGCGCCCTGCAAAGATGTTCCGCCAGACGTTTGGTGGAGGACAAGCGCTGTCTTCCCCTCTGGCGGGCCCTCCTGTTCCTCCTGCCTCCCCCCCCTCCCAGGAGGCCGTGGCATACGCGGGACAGTCCCATCGCCATCTGATTAGTGATTTGTATAATATATTCCGTTTTTAAAAATATGATTTTAATGTGATTATTTTATACTGACATTCACCGCCCTGAGCCCTGTTCCACAGGGGAGGGTGGTTTAAAAATCTAACTTAATAAATAAATAAATCATCAGCAAGTTGACTAAACGAGGAGAAGGCGGTCTGCTCTGAGACTCTGTCCCCTCTCCTGGGAATCCATCCCCCTTCTGGGGTCAGTCCTGAGGAGGAAACGACCACGCAGGCCTTGCGGCTTTTTCAGTGTGTGGGGGGGGACACTCTTGGGTTTCACGGGGGGAGGGGGAGGGGCGTGCCATGCCATCAGGGGGTTACCACCTTGGTGGGTAGTGGTTGGCTCTGCCCCCATTTGCCACGCACATAAATGTCCCCAGTAGGAAAGAGCCAGCGTCCAGTTGCACCTGAAAGACTAACAACATTTGTGACAGGGGAGGAGCGTTCGTCGCGGCTCCCTTCTTCGGAAAGCTCCTCCCCTGCCACAAACATGGTTAGCCCCGGACTCTGGCTTTTTTCTACTGCTCCAGACAGACTAACACGGCTGCCCGTCTTGATCTATTTCAGAGTTGGTTTGGCCGTGGCCTGCCTCTGCGTCACAACCCTGGTATTCCTTGGAGGTCGCCCTTCCAAACACTAGCCAAGGCCAACCCTGCTTAGCTTCCAAGATCTGATGGGACCGGACTCTCCTGGGCTACCCAAGTCAGGGCAGTCCCATGTTCTGCCTGCTGCAGGGGCACTCTTGTCAACACCTCCCCCTGGCCAGGACAGACAGACATACATGCCCCTCCTTGGACCAACACCCCCGTTCCCCACCCCCACCCCCACCCGAGCGGCATGCAGCAGCCGGCAGAGTTCAGGGTGGCCCAAGGAGGCAGTCCCTCCCAGCCCCGGACAGAAGGGAGGCCCAGCTGAGGGGGGGGGAGGCTGCCGCCACCAGGCCCCTCCGACGGACGGGGAGAGTCCCTGTGCCTGCGTGGGCTGAGCGGGGAGGCCCCCGGGAGACGGGGTGAGCCACCCCATCACGGCATGCCCACGGACTCAGGGTGGCCACGGATGACGGGGGAGCTGGGCTGGAACAGGCAGGATGCTGCTGCCATCCACGCGGGTGGTCTCCGCAGCCGGCTCCTCCCTGACCGGGCCTGTCGTCCTCCCAGGTCTCCACCCCCACCGACGCACCTGCAGCGACTCAGAACAGAGACACGGGCAAAGAGGAGGGATCTCCCTGACTGACAAGGCGGTGGCCACGATCGGCAGTGACAACGGGGTCTGTGTGTGTGTTGGGGGGGGGGTGTCCCGATGGGTTCTGCAGTTCCCACCCGTGCTGTGGAAGGGGGTGTGTGTCCCCACACGCTGTGCTGCCCTCCCCGGGGCGCCCGATGGGGCCATCCAAGCAGTGCTTCCCTGCCCCTTGCGTGACACTGCACTGCGGCCTCCTCCGCTCTGCCGGCTGGGGTGCCCGTGAGCCAGTGTGGGGTGGTGGTGGTGACGGTGGTGGGCTCTGATCTGGGAGCGCCAGACCCAAACTCCCACTCCGGGTTCCGTGGAGGCTTGCCGGGTGACCTCGGCCCAGTCACTCTCTCTCACCATAACAGACACCACAGGGTTGTTGTTGTTGTTGTGAGGATAAAATGGAGGCGAGGTGACTGATGCAAGCCGCTTGGGAGTCCCCTTTGGGAAGAAAAGTGGGGCAGGAATGAGGGAGATAAGTGAAGCGACAGGTGCCTTGGGTGTCTGGCCAGCATACCTATGGAGCCCCCCCCCCCGGGTGAGGCAGTCACATCCCGCCACACTGCAGCTGTGCTTCCTGCGTCTCCCGCGCATGCTGGCAGAGTCTTGTGCCCTGTACCAGGCTGCCAGCACTGTCCCTGCTGGCTACTGCGCGCGCCCCCCCTTCAGCACCACAGGTAGCAATCCTAGCTCCACTGTCCTGGGGAGGGGTGTGTGTGTCTGCCCGCTTGCACGACGTGGCTGGGCTCACACAGCACTGTGGACCTGCTGTGGGCTGCCCCCGTAGGCAGAAGGTGCCAGGCCCGGCAGTGGGAGACTGCCCTGCTGGAGTGGCACTCAGGGTGGGTGCCAGGGGGTGGAGGGACCGCTGCAGACTGCCCGCCGGAGGCTGCCATGCCCTCTGCGTTAGGGGACTGGTGCGCTGCCCCCCTCTTGGGGGTCCTGGGCTGCCTTCTCAGTATGGTGATGCCCAGTGCCCTCTGCGCATCCCCCCCACCACTTTAGTCGGGGACCTTCCAAGCAGAACCAGGAATGAGCATTTGAACTAGGGGGGGGGGTGTCCTAGCTGGGGTTCAGTCAGCACGGGGGGGGGATGTGACCGGTTGCACCCACGGTTGGTGTCCTGAGCGACACAGGGGCTTGCGTGGGGTGTGTGTATTTTGCTTTCCCCACTGCGTGTGTGCCTGGGAACCATGCCACAGTTTCTTCCTGGCATAACTGGCCTGAAAATGTTCATTCCCATGCCAAATGGGAAGGTCTCCCCTCTCCACTCGGCATGCGAATGGCAAATGTACTTATGCAAAGTCCCCACCCCCAAGAGGTCACAAGGAAGTCAACTATCGATGGCTGACCCACTGACCAGTATAATGTCACTTGCTGCTAAAGGCTGGAAAGGGACAAACGTCCCACTGATGCTCCCAAAGGGGGTCCCCTGCAATGCCGAACATGACAGGCCAGTGGCCTGGCCTCCCTCCCAGGTGGATCAGTAGAAGCTGCCAGGGAAGAGAGGCTCACTAGGCACACATTAGGGGGGAGAGGGCGGGGGGCAGAGAGAGGGGGGGTCAGCCCGCCTCCTCCAAAGGGAAGCCCCGCCTCCAGCCCTCCTGTGCTTGGGGGGCAGGGGAACAGGCACGTGGAAAAGGCTGACCCGGCAGACATGACACCCTTGGGAGTTCAAGAGGTTGTTGACCAGGCCCGTCACCAGAGACTCCCGAGGAAGCTCAGCAGTCCTTGAGTCAGAAGACGGGTCGTCATTTTACGGATCAGAAGCTGGTGAAATGACAGGAAACAGGGAAGAGAAACCAATGGACAGGGGTCATGAAGATGGAATGGAGAAATCCGGTTCTGCCGGTTTAACGCAGAAGGCCACCACTGTGGGGAACAGGGACCGGCTGCCCCTGTGACGTCGCCGTCATCACCATGAAATCTCCGCCCGCCGCACTTGTCCTGGAGTGGCCTGCTGGGTCTCCAGGGATTTCTTCTTCGCAGAGGCCCCCGGGGCCTGCAAGAGGCAAGGGATGGAGCGCACCAGGGCCCTCCTCGGCTGGCGCCCAGTGTGTTCCCCGGCCCGCACCAAGCACTGCGGTGGGATAGCTTGTGCATCCAGCATGGCCGGTGGGGCCGCTGCCTCCCACCCACTGCAGTGAGCTGAGGAGGAGGAGGCGGCTCTGCTCTGTGGAGCCACAAAGGCAGGAGGCAGGCAGGATGCGTCCATTTAGCCCCGCTGGCCTGAGGTTCTCTGCCCCTCTGGCTGCCTGCGCCCTGCGGCCCTCCCGGCCTCCCCTTCAGCCTTTGCACAGATGAAGACGGGCGGCAGAGCGGCTCTAGTCTGTCTGTCTGTCGGTAGCAGGAGGAGGAGAGAGCCAGGGTCCAGGAGCAGCTGCAGGACTCTGGACCTCTGTGGCCGGGGAGGAGCTTGCCTGGGGCACACTGCAGCCGCCGCAGAGGCAGCCATGTTTCAAAGAATGCCAGAGAAGGGGCTCCTTGCAGGGGAGGCCCTCTGCCTGCCCGGGTGTTGTTGCTGTTCACTGAGTGTGCCGGCTTTCGGGAGGGGGCTTCATTGCCCGCCGGGGGCTCCGCAGCCGGGGCTGCCGAGGAATGTGCCGACTGAGCAGTCCTCCTGCCTTGGCCCAGCCCCCCGGGGGGCGGGCGGGG